ATATATATATATATATTTTCTTTCTTGCTCATCAGACGATGAGACGAGAGAGTGATGGACTCTCTCGTCTCATTTAAAACGGTAAATTATTGGTCTTTACAAGACTTGGATACGTGACAGCAGGCATGGAAGTGCAGGGTGAGAGTCACCCCGCCCAATCCGCTTTCCAACTTAGGCACGGCAGACAGAGTTCCCTTCTCAGGAAGCCTACAGGGCGGAAAGGTGGGTTACCGGATTTCTTGGATACAAAGTTCATCTTGAGGAAAGATGAGAAGGAGAAAACGAAACTTCGACCCCCACAGAACACACTCTGGAACCTTCCAGAAAATCCCAGACACGTCTCTGTAGTATTCGAACCATCCATCTGGTGCCAACACCTGCTATGAATCCATCGGGGCCCACAGACAGTAGGGTAGCTGGTATTTCCATGCCTGCATAGCTGTCTTTTTAAGACCTATCTTGTCTACATTTGATAATAAAACGATATTTTCCAAATAACCGGAGCGTGATGGCCACGGCACTTTCGAGAGTAGATGAGGTTCAGAGGAACTTGGGTTTACCTCAGAGTGGTGGAGAAAGCTGCTCTCACCCACCCCGTTTAATTTAGTCTATGCTGCACGATTGTGTCTTCGATAAGGTGACACATGATCTCGTTGTGGGGTGGGATGAGGAGAGAGAGAGAGACACACACACAGAGTGAGGAGGAGACAGAGGGAACGTGAGAAATCCCCCGATGGCGGATGGTCGTGCCACAATCCCTTTCCCTCCATTTCTCCTTTTGGCATTTTGGGCACGCACGCACACCCACGCCCAGTGTGTTTTCCAAGCTGCTGGGTCTGAGATTTGAACTCTGTCGCCAGCCATGTGGGATCCTGCACCCTCAACCACTATGCCACCTGCTAGCATTCTCCACCATTTTATTTATTTATTTATTTTTGAAATTTTTGCTACAGGACAAGTGCACACGCCAGAGAGAGACAAAGAGACAGAGAATGAGAACTCACCCCCCTGCAGGGGGGGATGGCGACCCTGAAATCCCTTCTCTTCCATTCTCCTCTTGGGATTTTGGGCATGCACACACACACACACCCAGTGTCCATTTCAAACTGCCGGATCTGGGACTCGAACTGCGTACAGCCACTTGGGAGTCCAGGTTTGCAACCCTGATGCCACCTGCTGGACCCTCCCTAGATTTTTTAAAAATTTATTTGACTTTATTTGTTATTATTATTTATATTTGTTTTAATTGCACCAGAGATAGAGAGAGAAAAGGAAAGTGAGAAAGCAAGCCACCAGGTCCAAGACTTGAACCATGGCCAGCCATGTGAGAGTGCAGTGTCACAACCACCACGCCACCTGCCGGCCCGCTCTACAAATTTTTTAATGGACAAAGAAACAGAGACAACAGTAATGGCAACAGGGACCTATTTTGGGGGCTGGATAGTGGGGCAGTGGTAAAACATGATGGTCTATGAGGCTGACCAGACATGAAAGGGTTTTGGGTTTGTGTCCAGAGACCTCCATGAAGTCACTTGGCATGGGTGTGTCTATGGATTGGCTGAGGCGGGGGGTGGAGTATGATGTCAATACCCCATGGAGGTTCTCGCTCTCTCTCTTTCTTGTCTTGTTCATGGAGGAAATAAATAAACTTTTTTTTTTTTTTTTGGAGAGATTTTCACTGTAGGACGCGTGCACTCGCCAGAGAGACAGAGAGAGACATAGAGACAGAAAGCGAGAAATCACCCCCCAGGGGGGGTGGTCACGCCGCAATCCCTTCTCCTCCATTCTCCTCTCGGGATCTTGGGCACGCACGCACACACGCCCGGCGTGAGTTTAAGCCACCGGGTCCGGGACTCGAACCACAGTTGACTACATGGGAGTCCAATGATATAGCCGTTATGCCAACTGCTGGTCCCAATAAGTAAAGTTTTAAAAAAGTGAGCTATTTGACAGACACGTAGGCAGGGTCTAACCCTCCGCCCACGTGCTGACAACTCCACTGTAAAGAGACACAGATTCACCAATGAGAGGAAATCCTGCAGGAATCAGCGTTATTATTATTATTGGCAGGG